AAGAAGTTTTGGACAGATGATAGGGAAATTTTTTATTTTTTTAACCTCTTTTTTTTTAATTAAAAAAAAAAAAAAAAATTTTGGGGGTCGTTTTTTTTTGTATTACCTATACAAATTTAGTTTAAGAATAATAGCAAATGCTATCTTATTATTTACTTTTTAACTCAACCAAGTTTTTGGCTACCAAGACTGCTTCTATTGAGCAGCATAATGATTTGACACTTCATTTGGAATCAGTTCTAATTAATTTAAATTAGTGAATGCGACAATAGAGGCAATCTCTAGTAATTATAATAAGAGTTTAATTATTTTAAAATGCAGCCCACAAATAAGTAATAAAAATTGTTTACACAATATACAAGGAATGATGAAAAAAAAAACTGAAAAATAAAAACTGTAGAAATGGCTTGTATCGAGCTCGAGCACCTCATTGTTGAGAACCCCATGTGCTACTTAGGAATATTTTGAAAAGATTGTGGAATAAGTTTTGCTCAAACTTAATAAACAGAACAAGACTGTTGTAATATGTGGAGACTTTAATATTAATCTCCTTGAAACTTCTTCCATTAGTATTAAGTTTACCTCATTGTTTAAATCGTATTATCTTGTTTATATATTGATGGGCCTAGTGCGACCTGTATAGATAACATTTTTGCAGATGTTAAGCCCTTGCTTAAATATCATACAAAATTTAAGTTCAGATCACTGTGGACAGTGGGTCTCATTGCATTACATACACAAAAAAAAAACAGAAAAATGAGAAACTTGTGTTTGTTCCAATAAATGAACATGGTTTAGAAATGTCTAGAAGTAATATAGTAAAAGGACTTCCATCATTTTCTTTTAGAAATAGCGCTGATTATTTGTATGGTGCATTATTTTACGTTATAATTTGTGAATTTAATAGAATATTTACTTCTAAGACTTTATTTTTAAATAGATGCAAACCATTTAATAAATGGACGACAGTAGGCATTGTAGGCGAAAGTTGTACGAGCTTTATAATGAAAGATTATATAATGATAGTGTTATGTTTAGAGAGTATGTAAAAACTTATTCTAAAATATTTAAAAATGTTACGCAGCTAAGGCTTTACATTTGAGCAACAAAAGTATAATGACGTGGAGTGTAATTAAACAGTGAAACGGGCAAGGCAACCACGCAACTCTGATCTTCAACTGAAAATTAACAATAATTTGACTTAATCTGATCAAGAACTTGCTATGGCTTTTAAGAAACATTTTACTGATGTTCCTTTTTTGACAACAAAATTAATAAATTCTTCTTATATTATTGCCGAATCCTTGTTTAAACAAAATGTAAATGCTTGTTCAAATATTTTTAAATTCCATAGAGTATTGCCCAAAGATATCATTTAATATTTTAAAACTATTGATGTTAAGAAAATGGCAGACTTATGGGGGATTTCCATTAAAGTTATTGCTTCCGTTATAGATACAATAGCACCTTATGTAGCCACTATTTTTAATACAAGTAAAAACAAATTTGTTTTTATGCTGACTAAAACAATTATCGCAATATATTTCTAAATGGGTCTGATCTAGGTTTTTATGGTGTAAAGAATAATAATCTAAAGCAGTTATTACTTCTTTCGGTCCTTTATGGGCATAATTTTACTTAAACATGTATATAGTCGCCGAGTTTTCTATTAAGTTTCCAGTGAAATAAAGATGCTATCTTTGAGCCTCAAACAGGTGATACGTGGTAGAGCCGTGATGCAGCTATATTATGCTTGTAGCACGAATGGGTCAGTCCTATCGGGAAAGGACCGCGCTCTCACAGAATACATGCTCTAACAAATTAATGCAGTTGTGTTTAGTATGGTGGGTACAGAGAACTGGAGAACCTTTTTAGTGGTAACGAGACATTTTTACTTAGTTGGTAACGACGCATCTGCATTTTTAATTATTAATCGAAGATAGATGTAGATGTCTATGGGCCACAGCATTCACTTAACATCAGGTAGACTGTGTGCTTATTTGCACCCTTATTCTGTAAAAAAAATATATAAAAAAATATATAAAAATATATAAATATATACGTAATCATATAAGCTGTTTGTATGTTTATGTAGTAGACCAAACATCGACTCTGGAAAAATACCAACACAAATATTATCCATTGTTTGTTAACACTTTGTTAATGGATGCCGTGGGCGGCGACTCTGGAAAATCTGCTTAGTTGATCTTTTAAATGCAGAAATTTTAAATCTGGCTGTATGAATCATAGAATAATTAAACAAAGTTAGTTTAAAACTATTAAAACAGATGGTCGTCTTCCTCTGTCGATGCTGGACTTGACTTGGTTCATAACAAAAAGAGAAACGACGTTCGTGCCTCTTCCTTAGGCTGGCTTCTTAAAATAGCTGCGAAGTCCCTACCACAACGCACTTATGAGTCACAGATCTTACGCCTATCAGGGACAACCTACGCCACTACGTTGGGGTCGGGACAACCTACGCCACTACGCTGGGGTCGGGACAACCTACGCCACTACGCTGGGGTCGGGACAACCAGATGGGCCTGACCATAATAGCTGCAGTGTGGCTCTACCACGTTGAAAAAGGAATGGTCCCGGTCCTGACGTCAGTCGTGCACTTACTGGACTATCTATCTTCTTACTTCCCCAATTTTAGGGTGGACACTGAAGAATTAAAACAGCGATTGTTTGTAAATGCTCCTTGGAAATGATATACTGAACTTTTAACTACATTCACTTTCAATTTACTTTCACTGATTTTGTTTTCTTTCTTGATTTAAAACTAAAAACTGTAGCTAGCCATATTGAATTAATTTGATATACAATTTACACTGTCACATTTCCATATATTATCCCATAACTTTATTTCCCATGGCATCTTAAAACAATTGTATTTATCACAAAGTAAAAATTAAACGCATTGTAGATATAATTAAAACATTCACATTATAAAAAGAACTAATAAAATATCAAACATAATATCGCAATTTTACAAGAAATTTCTTAGTCATAAACCTTAAAATGTCGAATATAAGCTTTACAATTCAATGTTTATTACTAATTTCACATATCTTATACAATACAACAGTTAAATACAAGAATTGAAACTTTTTTTGTGCTGATTTACCACGTGCTGCACGTCGAGAGTGTGTCGGCGGTGAAGGAAAATATCGTGAGGAAACCTGCATGTCTGAGGAATAAGAAAAAATATTTCGAAGACATGTGAAGTTCGCCAATACGCATTGGGGCAGCGCGGCGGACACTTCGTTGCCCTAAAACCCTCTCAGAAATGAAGGGAGGCCTGTGCCCAGCCCAGCCTTGTGTGGTACGTATAGAGGCTGTAACTTTACTTTTTACTTTTTATACTTATACGTTTTGGACTTTATGGAGTGATCTGAAGGTGTACTTCGGTATCTGCTATTTGAAATCCTCTATGAGTAGAACTCAGTGTGCCGAGATTGTTCTCGGTATGTTAGTTATGATGAGACCTTACCCCTTACTTGACGAAATGACCTGGAGGTATACTTCGGTGAATGCAACTGGAACTCCTCGAAGAGTAGTGGGCGTAGTTTGGGCTCGTTTTGTTCGTTATGATGTGACCTTATTTTAAGACAAATTTATTATTTATAAGACAGAATTATTCTTAAGACAAACTAGGCACGTGCCGAGGGGCGCAAGGTTAAAAAGAGGCGCGCACGGAAGTTTTTAAACGAAATAAAAATCGAATCAAACTACAAAGATAAGGTTATTGGTGATAACTAGTGTATATTTAAAATACTTGAACAAATTGATGCATATAACATGAGCTCAAGGCATGCACATTTGGATTTACCTTTTACCATACCATAATTGTAAACAAAGTCTTCCAATTTAATGGTGGGGGCGGCTTTTCAGGTAAAGAAAATCGCCGTGCCGAAGCAGTTCCGTGGCGCAGAGACCAACTACCAGGATGTCTCAGAACCTTCGATCAACAATACCAACTAGATAACGGGTCACGTACAAAATCATAGCTAAATACTGCCCGCATGAAAATAAATTATGAAAAGACATAAATTAAATAACATTTAGTGTGTAATCAACCTTAAGTTATAACAAATAAAGTTCTTTTTCCCGTTATTGCCTTGCGAGCTACACCCTCACGTGCAAGAGCTCACGTCTCATGTGCGCTCTTATTTACTGAGATGGATTTCTTGCGCCGACCCGACATCTAGTTGGTATTGTTGAGCGAAGCTCAGACCGATCCACGATATAGTCCCGCTTTCAAGCCCCCCGCTAACGACGCAATTGAGCGCCAAACCTCCCAGAGGAGTAAGCGGGGGAGGAAGAAGAAGGAGAAGGTGCAGCCCCCTCCTCAGGCAGCTACCTCTATCACAACCCCAGCGGTAACGATAGCCGAGGCTCAGGTTACCAAACAGAAGAAAACCAGAATGGGTAGAGTGCCAGAAAGGGCTGTATCGGAAAATAGAGCCCGCTCTACATATAGAGCGCGCTCTACCCATAAACAGAGAGATGTACACCAACTCCCGAGATCGGTGCCAACGCTTTCACAGGCACCAAGAACACCATCAGCCGGCTTCGAGACTGCTGACGCCATCCAGCGCTTGGTTGGCATAGCAATCGAAGTCAGGTCCTGGCTGATATTAGAGCTGGGACGGATCCCATAACAGCGGTGATGAAGGCGCTGGTAAATCTCCTGGCACGGCACTACGGAGGAGTCTAACCTGCGCCTCCTCTACTGGAACCCGGATGGAATCCAGCAGAAGCTGCATGAACTCCGCACTGTCGCCCAACAACAAGACATACAGGTCATCTTGCTGGGAGAGACGAAATTAAACCCGAATACGCACGTAAAGCTGCCCAACTACCACCTGTACAGGAGGGACGAGGTCACTTCTCAAGGGGCCGCCTACAGAGGGACGGCGGTTCTAGTGAGAAGGGACATCGTCCATCAAGAACTTGATCTACCGGAGTACCAAACGATGCGCTCTATCGGCATAAAAATGGAGGCGGCGGGCGAGGAACTTAGGATCTACGCAGCATACCGCCCGCCAGGGACTCCATTCTGCTCCTCAGACGTCCGGACGGTGATGGAAGGCGAAACACCGACCATCATCGCTGGGGACCTAAACGCCAAACACCCGGCATGGGGAGCTAGAGTGATCAACCCGCCGGGTCATGCACTATTTGAAGACGCCGAAAGATACGGCTATGACGTCTTAGGTCCCGAAGAACCCACACACGTTCCGATAGATCTGCGGAAACGTCCGGATGTATTTGACATCGTGCTCTCTAGGAACGTCAACTACCCGATAGCGGTAGAGGTGCTGTACGACCTTAATTCACAACACCTCCCGATCTTGATTACCCTTGGCCTAAAGGCGGTGACTACGCCGCCCAGAGCATTTAAGACACGTGTCGACTGGAGGCTCTACCATCAACACCTGCAGGAGAGACCTCCAGCACACCACCCCTTAAACAAAGTGGACGACGTAAAGGCCGCTGCTACTAGAATGACTAAGGCGATTCAGGAGGCCCTCCACGCTGCCTCTACGATCGTCCCGATATCAGCGAGAAAAGACGATCTGCCGCTACTGATAAGCGTGCAGATAAGGAGGAAAAGGGCGTTAAGAAGGCTCTGGGCGCGTACTCACTGCCCGAGAATCAAGACGAGAAGTGGAGGAAATGTCGGTTGCAGTCCAGGCACACAGAGGAGATAAGAACGCGGGTGAACGTCGTTACGATGCCAAGGGTAGGGCGGATATCCTAGTAGAGCACTTCGAGGAGCAATTTGTGCCGAACCCAGCAAGTGCGTAGTTCATGGAGCTTCATGCCCGGAAGGAGAGTCGCGTACAGGAGTTCCTGTCGTCGCCCGCGCCGCCTCTTGCAGGAGAGTGGTTCATCTCCCCCGCTGAACTGCGGAGGACAGTAACCCGCCTGCAACCGAGGAAGGCGCCCGGGCACGATGGGATTACCAACGCTGCACTCCGACAGCTGCCCCATAGAGTCCTAGTAGAGCTTGGTCGACTCTACAATGGGATATTGCGGACTTTCCACTTCCCGGAGGACTGGAAGAAAGGCATAGTTATCGTCTTGCTGAAACCCGGGAAGGACAGGCGTAGACCTGCCAGCTACGCTGCACTACCGCACATAGCTAAACTGCTAGAAAGATTGTTGCTAAAACGCCTTCGTCCGTGTCCAACTTGGGGACGGATTCAGGAGGGATCACTCAACAGCAACACAGCTGACCAGAGTGCTGCACCTGCTTGCGGCCGAGTACAACCGTGGCCGCACTACGTTGGGCGTCTTTCTCGATATCGAGAAGGCGTTCGACAGGGTGTGGCATTCTGGATTACTTTACAAATTGGAAGAACAGACCAGTGTCCCTCCTGCTATGTTGCGGCTAGTGGCGTCTTTCCTGGCAGACAGGAAGTTCTACGTCTGCGTAGAGGACGCCGTGTCCGCAACAAGAATCATCAGAGCCGGCGTTCTTCAGGGCAGCTGTTTGTCTCCAGTCCTGTACGCGGCTTATACCAACGACATCCCTACACTGGCAGGAAGGCTGCAAGAGTGGGAGGACGAGGATAGCGCCTACTTCACCTCGTCCAGAAGAGCCCACATTGCCACTGCCAGGATGCAAGGTCTGCTGGACCTGTTGCCACCATGGCTAGATGAGTGGAGGATGGACGTCAACGTTGGTAAGACGACCGCTCTGCTCACCCGCTCAGCCTGTGTTGGGATCGACCGGGCGCTGCGCATGACTGCGCGCGTTGACTTCGTCTTCCGCAGAGCACGATGTACGCGGGCGATGCTCCGTCCGGTCCTGGCATCCAAGCTGCCACGTAAAACAAAAGTGAAGATATACAAGATGTATATAAGACCTATCATCACATATGCTGCTCCGGCCTGGTACGCGCTTCTGAGCGAGCCTCTGAGGCGGCGACTGCAGGCCCAGCAAAATTTGACGTTAAGAACCATTGTCGGTGCGGGTCGCTACGTCCGGAATGACGTCATAGCGGCCAACTTGAAGATCGAAACCATCCAGGACTTTGTGGCCCGTTTGGCGCGCGGACTGTTCGACCGCGCAGATAACGGGCCACACTTATACCTCAACAATTTAGCGCCGCTACACACTCGCCCTCCGGACGGGCGACCCTATCCAAGAGAACTCCTCTCTATATCGATTAGAGAGTCGAGTAACAACCCACAATGCCGCAGATAGGCCAACTCTGACATCTCAGGATAACCTCCTTTTTTCATAGTCTTAACCGACTACGAAAAACTTTACCAATTACGGACTAAACCCGATTTTTCAACTTACAACGCCTGAATAAGGCTTCCAGGACCGGTTCATAGTAGTGGACCGCGAGGACAATCCGGGCAATGGGGGCATGCCCCGAGGCCCGAGACCCGCAGGACCCAAGCAGTCTGTACAGATGACAATATGAGCGAGTCCAGCTTTCACGCGTTAGTGCATACTTAGCACTGGCGGAGTGCCCGTGTCCCGTGGCTTCTCGGAAACGGCTCCAACGATTTTCATAAAATTTAGTGTCCAGGGAGTTTCGGGGGCAATAAATTGATCTAGCTAGGATTTAATTTTAGAAAATGTCTTTTTGTCCGTGTTTTCAGGCAATGAAAAACTGCTAGATATAAGAAGGTAAATTTTGACACTGTGTTAATGATCGTAAATGCTCAAGTGGTTATCGAGCGGTCGTGAAATCGTAATGCCTTGGTTCGCGTCCCGTCTTAGGTCCGACTTTTTTCCTTTTTTTTTTAAAGTTCCCTTCTTTTGTGAGAAAATCTATTATTTCGAGCCCTTTTTTAGTATTTTTGATTGATTTTTTATTCAAATAACCAGTTCAGTTTTTTCTATTATGTCAATAAGATCAAAAAATATTTTCATGTTTCATCAGTATGTAATTTGTATCTAAATGTAATTTAAAAAAAAAACGAGTAAAGCTCGATCATCCAGGTATTACTTCCGCTCTTATGTTTAAAATATAAGAAGACAAGGTAATAAGGCCGTATCTTGACGTTTGGTGAACGAATTGATCGCAGAACATACATATACATACATGCACCTTTAGGGTTGCAGCCGGTCATCGGCCTGAGTATTTTACAGCTGGCGTAAACGAAATGGGATACCGCCATTTATCGGTCCCTATAAGAATTTTATTATTGTTCTTCCCATTCTTGCTATTTATGAAACCCTTGACACGCAATGGAGTAATGAATTGTCTTAAGCCTTTACCAAACGGCCCAACAGGATTTCATTATACTTCTATCATTTTCGGAGGGAGTACCAGATATGTGTACACTTAATGCTAGTCCCTGTATCCGATATTTTTAGACTTTTCAAAAGTTGTATATATATATATATATATATATATATATATATATATATATATATATATATATATATATTATCTTTTTTCATTTGTCATTTGTTATGGACACATAAATAACAGGTTAAGAAGATGGCTGACATGTGTATAATATAAATAATGTAATTGAAAATTGAATAAGTATGGCTTAAAATAGGTCATCATCATTACAGCCCTTCATAAGTCCATTGCATGGGCCTCCCCCGAGGAAAGCCACAAAACGCGGCCCTGAGCCATTTGTATACATTTACTACCTGCATGTCTTACCGGAATGCCACCCGGAAACCGTTGTTCTCCATCGATTGTCGGTTTGGTGACCAAAATATTTAAAATAAACACAATTATAGAGCATAGCTCTCTGAGCGACCTTCAGTTTCCCCATATGGCCAGCAGTGAAGGACCACGTTTCAAATCCATAATTCATCACTGGCACTAGGTGTAATTCAAGTTGAGGTATATACGTGACGAGAGCATGTCTCGTAAATACCCAAACCCAGCCAAGTTGAATCCGTCGATCGTATTCTTTAATTACAGCCGAACAAAGTGCACTGCTGGTCATTGGCTCCCCCCATATATACATTTTCTCATATTTGCCATATTTGCCATACCAGCCAGGCGGGTTGGCAACCGTTTTTTTATTATTTCGAGTTTGTTATCAGGTAGATGCTGTTGCTCATATCCTTTTCTATTCCCCTTTGTCAGAGCTGACAAAGAGCCGTAAGAGCTTGCTCTACATGGTAAGGTTTGCAATGTATTATTAGAAATATATAGTGGCCACTGCAGTCCAAGGTATCCTTGGACTGCAAAAGTCGCTTGTCATCTGGTGGGATGTAGGTTTGTTTGTCACATCATTTATATAAAAAATGTAAATGTGAAATTAAAGTGGGCTTTGTACGAATATAAATATTAACATGTGAGTAACGATTACAGTCTTCTGAATGGGATATTTCTTCTGACATTGAAGTATCCAATTCAAATAAGCTCCAAGTGATCGATATGCCTTTACGTTCTCATGGCGACTGCACTATGACTTCAGCCGAGGGCAAGTTCTGCGCTGGGTATGCAAATGGTAGTATTTTTTATTCTATACTATAACCACTGCATACGTCGTAGAGCCACGCTGCATCTATATTATAGTTGTAGCACGAATGGGTCGGCTCGACCGGGGTAGGATCACGCTCTCACAGAATACTAGCGTGTAATAGCAACTTAATACTGCTGTGTTTCGTAAATGGTATGCTGATTTGCTACCCTTATTCTATAAGCCAATAAGGAGTGCTCTGCACCTAATTAACTGGCAACTAGCAAACGTAATCACCTTACTTTCGTTCCAGGTCCAGCGTTGTGCGAAAATGGCGGCAGTGGTATCATATTCCCCGCTACCACTTATAACACCACCAGGACTACCTTCGCGGGGTAGCATCCACCAGGCCGACAAAGGATGGGAAGCAGTGTAGCACTTACACCAGGTTCACGTCGATCGCTGAATACCAGAACTTGATCAAGACTTACTGGTTCTTGTAGCCGAGATACCAGATTTCTAGTTCCGTACAGCACGAACGCATGTCACATACGAAAACGCATTTTGTAATAAATGCCCATTAAACAATTGCTTTTTTAATTTTTTTTAGCAGATTAAAAATGAGGAGGTTTACAATTCGACTGTATGTTCTTTTTTTTGTATCTGTTACACGATGTCTTCGTCAATGAGGGTGCTTTACTGAAGACTTTTGTTACACAATGTCATTTAATTGAGAAGTTAGCTTTAAATAATTATTATTATTATTATTATTATTATTATTATTGGGTTATTAATAGAGTAATCACATCTGGTCGGCTGGATAAATATATAAAAGGAAAAATAAATACGAGTATACTTAAATATATAGTTATGCATCCCGGTATTCACGGAACTGAACCGGAGACCGTAACAATTCAAGCGTAAGCGTGGGCGTAGATTGCTGAATTGCGTCCGGAAGACGGGTGGTCTTTCCTGTGAATACTGATAACTGTTCTTTAGCTTAAAGTACTAGAATAAGAATTAGGATAGTCTTAGTTTGGCTCGCACATGTATCGCACATGTAGCCTTAGGTTAGAATCCATTGCGCATTAATTAAGTAGTATATAAGTAATGTATCGCACATTAATAGTTGTAAGTTTATTAATAAAGTCTTTTTAAAAACGTCCTGAGTCAATTTCGAATCTTGACTGGCGCAGCCGGTAGGATTTCGCGTGTAAAGCTTGCTCATATAAGAAGACTCCCAAATCAGTCGTCGTGAAGCAGTTTACGGTGCCGTCTTGCACTTTCGCGAAATCTACGAACCGAAATAAATTTG